AGGGCAAAGGTCCTTAGGGAATATTCCCAGAGACCCTGGTTTGCGAACAGGGAGGACAACGGCATCGAGCCAGTCCTCAGGGACTGACGACGACTCCCAGATCCGATTATACACTCGGTATATACCGAGACGTGCACGGAGGGAGATGGCAAAGCATCTCATAATAAATACCATCGGAGCCCGCCGCCATTGAACCGCAGAGGGCCAGGGCAGAACGAAGTTCAGAGAGAGAGAGAGGGGATTGTTATAGGGAAGTCAAAGACGAGTGCAGAAATCTAAAGGACGAGACTCAAGGACAGGTTTACGAAGAAGGAAAGATTGGGGAAGATGAAGACCAGAGCTAACAGAAGAAAAGTGGGAACCCAGTTCGGTAGCGACCTGCATCGGGTCCGCCACAAGAGTACCACGGAGGTGAAGGACCGGTGAAACATCGGGAACGAACTTACCCGCTATCGTGCGGATACGCTTCCAGATCTGTGGCAGAGGAGTTTCGGACGTAATGGTGAAGACATAAGATGCCCAACATTCACGTTTAGCCGTAAGGATGGCCCTACGGGCCACCGCACTCGCCTTCCAAAACAAAAGAAAAGAATCGGCCGTCTACCGATGGCGGTGTTTCTTCCAAGCTGCACGCTTACAGCGGACAGCCCGAGCACAGTCTGCATTCCACCAGGGAACGCACTTCCGTGGACCCCGAGAGGAAGAGCGAGGAATAGAGTGGAGGGCAGCGTCGAAGACAGTGTCATGAAAAAGGAGGAGAGAGCAAGGGAGAGGTCAGAGAGCAGCGCTGAGGATAAAGAGGTCTCAGTCCGCTTTCGCAAACTGCCACCTAGGGAAGGAGAGGGGAGGGCGAAAAGAGAAAAAGGTAACAAGGATGGGGAAATGGTCACTGCCATGGAGGTCATCAAGAACCTGCCACGTGAAATCTAAGTAAAGAGAAGAAGAGCAAAGAGAAAGATCAAGACAGGAAAGGGTGCGAGTCCGAGAGTCCAAATGCGTGGGCTCGACAGGTCGAGCCTGGCCTCGGGCCGGGCGTGGGAGTAGAACAACTCCCAGAACCCCATCAAGCAGGTACCAGAATTCAGAAGAGACAGGGAAGAAGAGAGGATAAACGGCCAAGAAGGCGACCCCAGGTGTTCGTCAGAACATCACCCCAAAGGGAATGACTACAATTGAAATCACCCAGCAGGAGCACAGGCTCCGGCAAGGAGTCCAGTAAGTGTTTCAGATCAGGAAGAGAAAGCGGGACACTCGGGGGAGATAAATGGAACAAACAGTGTACCATTTTCCCACAAAGATACGAGCAGCAGAACAATGGAGAGGCAAAGGAAAAAGTAAGGGAACATCAGAGCAAATCAAGAGAGCAGAAGAGTTAGGAGCCCCAGCAACAGCTGGGGGGGGGGGAAGAAAGGAATAGCCACGAAAGCAACCAGGACGAGCACCAAGCGTCGGCTCCTGGAGACAGACACAAAGGGGCGAAAACCGCGAAATCAGAAGTTGGAGTTCGAGGAAATTGGCGTAATAACCTCGAACGTTCCATTGAAGAATAGACATCGACGAGAAGAGAAAGGACAACAACAGAAAACAAGGAAGAAACAAAGGCGACAGAGCAACACAGCACGTTAAAGAAGATCAGGGTCAGCAAAGTCAGGGTTAAGGGGCATGGGTAAACTGAGCAAAGACGGAGGGAAGGAAGCGGGAGAACAGACCAGAGGTAGACGGGCGGGGTCCGGAGGAGGAGGAGGAAGAGGAGGAGACAACGGAGAGGAGCAGTCAAGGACAGCAACAGGAAGAGGGGGAGTAGAAAGAGGGGAGCGCACCTCAGCAAGGGCCAAAGAAACCTTCATAGCAGGAACAGGGAGCGCAACCACCGAAACGGGAGGGGAAGGAGCAATAGTGTCAGTAGTAGGGGCCGAGGAAGAGCGCGAAGCCTTCTTACCCGCCGGGGAGGAGGAAGGAGAGAAGCCAGGCTTACGCTTCTGACTTAAAGAGACCGATGTCCCAGCAACTACGTACCGGGCAACGAATTCCAGCGTCTCAACAGGAGAAGTTGAACGAGAGCACACACAACGGCCGTTAGAAGAGCGATGGACATCAGCCCGCACCGACAGGCGGCAGGGAGAGTCAATAGACGGAGGAGGATCGGAGGGAGACGAGGAAGAAGACACAGGAGACATGACAGACCGGGTAGAAAGAACGGGAACCCCAGACAGAGGACCAGGAGGTGGATCCTTCGGGACAGAACTCAAAGGAACAGAGGAGGGGGCAGTGGGCGTATCAGGGTCCAAGGCCCGGAAACGGTTGTGAGTCTGAGGAAGGTGGGAAGGATGAGGAGAGGAAGAGCGCAACACACGAGCATAAGAGACATTAGCATAAGGCGGGAGCTGGCGAACCTGGCGCCTCGCCTCAGGAAAAGATAAACGCTCCCGGTGCTTCAAGTTGAGGACGGCTGCCTCAAGCTTGTAATGGATACATTCACGGGAGAAGGTAGGATGGGCCTCACCGCAGTTAAGGCAGCGAGCTTGGGGAGAAGTGCACTCCGACTTAGAGTGACCTTCACCCCCACACAAAGGACAGACAGTCCCGGAGCAGCGGAGGGCACCATGCCCAAACCTCCAGCACTTGTTACAGAGCCTAGAAGGAATGTACTCCTGGACAGAGCACCTGGCACCAGCAAGAATGACAGAGGGTGGAAGGGTCCTACCATCAAAGGTAATCTTCACAACCCGAAGGGGTTGACGGCGACTACCACGAGGGGGACGAGTAAACGTGTCAACCCGGAGGACAGAATGGCCCTGGGCATCGAGGATATGCCGAATATTATCGTGGCAATCCTGCAGATTCCGAACACCGGTTGCAATATGGGGCGGAAGGAGAATAGTGCCAACACTGGCATTCAACTGAGCGTTCTTTGAGACCCGAACAGGGGTCTCGCCAAGGCAGCCAAGCAGGAAGCTGCATCCTGAGAAGCAGCAGCAACGACATGTATACCGAGATGAGTAGGGTTGATGGTAACAGAGGCATCCACGGAATCAACAAGATGTCGATGGTGGGAGAAATTGTCAGGAGGCGCAGAATCAAGCGGGAGGAGAACAAAGTATTTGGCCCATGAAGCGGGACCAAAAAAGGCTTGATAGGCATCAGAATGGGAAGGAATCGAGCGAGTGCGGCCGTGTCGAGGACGGCGTTGAGAACCCCCAGAGAGAGGGGTTAAAAGGCGCAGTAGTTACAACTAGAGATGGAGCCGTGCCAGGGGACGAGGTAGTTACCACTGGGGGCTTGGGACTCGACCCAACCAAAGGAGGGAGAGGAGCCGAGGGGAGTAGTCAGAGAGGCCAGAGGAGGAGCAAGGTCAGGGCCCAATGCAGCGGAGGCTACGGAGCCCGGTCTTCCAACACGGACCGACTTGGGAGCTTGGTCGCCCACCCCACGAGCCTGAGAAGGTAAAGGAGGAACAGAACACAACATAGGTACGAATTATAAACATTCATTCACGAATGTGCCCCCACACCCACCATGGAGCCACAATTAGAGGCAGGACACCCAACAAGAAGCTATCGCCGATCATGCCGGGGCCTCCTAGGGGTGCGTCGTGAGTATACGCCCCACAAACGTCACCTTAAGAACCGTCAGTCCGTAGAGATCGGGTTCAGTGACGAAAGGAGGATTGACAATAAAAGGTTCCCCTCGCACTCGACGTCGGGGAGGGGGGTGGCTCTAAAAAAAAAAAAAAAGAGAGACTTTCGACAGAGATCCACATAAAAGGGTCTTTTGACAGAGTTCCACATAAGAGATTGTCCTGGAAACTGGAACATATTGGAGGGGTGACTGGTAAGCTTCTAACATGGATGAAAGATTTTTGATAGAAAAATGAGGGCTGTAATCAGAGGCAATGTGTCGGATTGGAGGAATGTCAAAAGTGGAGTACCACAGGGTTCAGTTCTCGCACTGGGAATGTTCATTGTCTACATAAATTATCTACCAGATGGAATACAGAATTATATAAACATGTTTGCTGATGATGATAAGATAATAGGGAAGATAAGTAACTTAGATGATTGTCATGCCCTTCCACAAGACCTGGACAAAATAAGTGCATGGAGCACTGCTTCGCAAATGGAATTTAATGTGAATAAATGCCATGTTATGGAATGTGCAATAGGAAAATATAGGCACACAACCCATAAATTATGTGAGAAATCTTTAAAGAATTCTGATAAAGAAAGATCTAAGGGTGATTCTAGATAGAAAACTGTCACCTGAGGACCACATAAAGAATGTTGTGCGAGGAGCCTATGCCACACTTTCTAACTTCATAATTGCTTATCAATACATGGATGGTAAAGTACTAAATTGTTAACGACTTTTGTTAGACCAAAGCTGGAATATGCAGCAGTTGAATGGTGCCTATATCTTAAGAAGCACATCAACAAACTGGAAAAGGTGCTAAGACATGCTACTAAGTGGCTCCCAGAACTGAAGGGCAAGAGCTTCGAAGAGAGGTTAGAGGCATTAAATATGCCAAAACTAGAAGACAGACGAAAAAGAGGTGATATGATCACTACGTACAAAATTGGAACAGAAATTGATAAAATTGATAAGGAAGATTTCTTGAGACCTGGAACTTCAAGAACAAGAGGTCATAGATTTCAACTAACTAAACACAGATGCTGAAGAAACATAAGAAAATTCCCTTTTGCAAAAAGAGTGGTAGACAGTTGGAACAAGCTAGGTGAGAAGGTGGTGGAGGCCAAGACTGTCAGTAGTTTCAAAGCGTTATATGACGGCATCCTGTAACTACACTTGGGTAATTATTTTAAAATATCCATCACTTGAATTGCATTTGGTATTCAAATTACAACTTCAAAAAACATTTCAGGTTCTGTGTGAAAGTGCCAATTGGTGAACTGCATCCAATTTGGGTATTCTGTAAGCCTTGCGTTCAATTCGAGCAACTTCATATTCAATTTTCAAAAATAATATTAGGAATTAAGTACAAATTACAAAAGGAGTTTATTTAAAAAATCATATGTACAGAGTAGGCATATCTTTCACTGTGAGATTAATGCCATTAGCCATACAGCTGTAGCTATTTGCACAAAAAAAGAAAAGAAAAAAAAAAGATCCTGCCTTCGTGAAAGCTCTTTCTGTTAAGAGTCAACCTTCACAAGGTGAGGAGACTCCTTTCCAATGTAAGAAGCCTCCTCTTAAAAGAATATGGCAGCTCCAAAATTGAAGTTGAGAAGACTGTCTGCCAGGGTGGGCACTTGACTTGTTAAGTGAAGTGTCTTTCATGGCTCACTACTTCCACCACTTACACAATGCATCTACATATGATGTATGCTTGTCATTTTTTAAACAAAAACAAATATATATATTCAATGTAACAACAATAAATATGAAATATTTAAAAAACTAAATTATGCTTACTGAACAGTGGGAAAATAAGTTGTGTAGGCTTAGACCCGGGTGAATCACGAGAAATACTAGGTAAAGCTCTGCCACACTAGTCCCCAGTGTCAACATTAGCATTATGCCATCTATGTTGATGTTGAGTTGTGTAAGTAGTAGCAATCATCAACTAAACAAGACACTAACACTTGGTTCACTGAATGATGTTTGTGGAGTTACCTGTGAAGCGAGGCACAATTTATTGCCAGAGTCATACATGGATGTGCACACATCAATGACAAGATTAATTGTATCTATAGAACTGTCGCCTACAATGTGCAAATTCATTAACCAGTTATCTACTATGACTAGAGCAAATGTCAAGTTAAAGAGTTAGTCAAGAATTGATAAAGGAGTTAAAACGTTCTATGTAACCATTAACAGTAGAAAATGCAAGAGCCTATAAATAAATGTTTCATCCCTGAAATGGCAATTTAAAATCATTTAAAGTATGTGGAAGAGTTGCTTATAATATACAGAAGTTCAACTCCATACAGACTCCAAGACAAACAAGCAAGCCATGTGTGTGTTCAATATTAACATCCACAATATCACTTCTCAAACTATGGCGTTTCTACCAACTGGCAACTCCACATTACATGCCCAGGCTTTCCCTAAATTAATGTCTAGATATTTGACAACTACCAATGGCCAGAAAAACATCCTAACTCAGACAGCCAACCTCAGTCTGAGACATAAATTTAGATCTTTGGCCAGAAACTTCATATAAGTGTTTTAATCCGGAACATAATGTCTGACTCCAGGCAAGTCCATACAAGCTATTGAAACAAGACTTAACCTTGATCGGGGACATGTGCCTCAGACACGGGACTGGTGCAAGCTAAAAACTAGGATACACTTTCCTGCCAAGATTTCCAATAGGTTAAGCACTTTATTCTATTTTTTTTTCTCTTTATGGCAATATGAAGATGAGGAAGAAGAATTTTAGAGCAACAAATACCCTGGACCTTGCAGACAGTACTTCATCGAAAACAAATACTTTAGACAACATCAAATTAATTTACATTGAACGTATTAACATTATAGTAAATATTCTAGAAAAAGAGAAGACATACCTGAGACATCAACAAAATGGGTCAAAAAGAATAAACTTAACAATAAGTATATGTGAAGAGGCACCAATCACACCAGGTGGTTACACTATCTGTGCCTCGTCAACTTCAGCGTCACCTGCCACACACCACACTTTGTACATACTCAACAAATTCATGTACAGTACAGCTATTAAAAAAAAAAAAAAAATATTCAATACAAGCCCCACATGGCTGAGGTTCAATTAGCACATAACATTGGATATGATTAATTATACTCCCATTATAAGTGGATGGTGAGTAGAAGCTGTGGGGGTGTATATTACTCTCTGTAAGCTGTTATGTATACTGCTGTAAACTATGTGAATACTGCTCGAGTCGTTTACTGCTCTCTGTTAACCAATGAGAGTAAACTGCAGTGTATATGATGGTTTGTGTGTCAGCTACTGAGCATGTCAAGTGCCGTGTGTGTGTGTGTGTGTCTGTGTGTGTGTGTGTGTGCGTGAGCTGCTGTGTGGCACTATACAACCCTCGCAGCCTCTACACTAGTAGCACCAAAGATAAAAAGAGTTGCCAATAAAGGCTTGGTGTGAGCATATCGCAGGTCCGGGCTAGCGCAACCCTCGTGGTCGTGTTAAGTCACCTGCACACGTTGGCAACCTGTACCCACTTTCGTAGGTTCTTGCTACCAGCAGCTTCTTGACTAGTGTGACACTGGCTTGTTACAATATGTACAATGCAAATTTCTCATTAAACTCAGCTTGGCAAAAAGTAATCCGAATCCCTGAATATTGCCTTTATTCAATTTTAAGTCTTATTGCAAACATTTAATTATTTTGCATAACTAAAAGACCCTTAGAAAATGTTCTACATTTCTGAACTCGGCATGTCATCGGGAAGTGGGTGGGGAGGGGGAGGGGGCGAGGAAACGGCTACATTCTTCTGAAGCTCAAACATGGTCACAACTTGTGTTCTTCCTACATCCAAAGTGAATTAAATACAACTCAATGCATTCAATAAATTCTTCCAATTATTAACAGTGAAAATGGATTTCATAAATGGATCAATTAATCAAGTTTAGATCTCAATCATTCAAGAAACTCACCTTACACTCAATAATAAAGATATATTTACCAAACTAACAAGAGACAAAATTAAATTTAACAAATACAATGCACTTATCACATAAAACTTAAACCATCTTCTGAAAATTGCCAAGTAGTAAAATGATGCATTTCTTGCCAATATGTCTACTTGACATTGCCACAGTCACTAATGTTTTGGCATTATTTTGTGAATAGCGGTATAGCGTGTTATTTAACAAGAATGCATTAGTGGACTGTGAGCAAATGTGTACTGGTAGCTCGAGTCAAGAGACCATAGGCATGGTAGCAAGTACTGACAACGACAACGAGCATCTGCCTGCACAGAGACTCTGCAAATATCTCACACTGCTCCTGGCCACACCTTCACACATTATACATCTCTCTCACTTTATTTCTAAATTGAGGTAAGAAATTAAGCCTATCTGCTCCAAGGCTCCATCACCACCGGACCTTACGGCGCGAATTCCTGTGGTCCGGCAAATCTCCCCGGTGGACTCTCTTCATATCCATTATACTATGCCACTTTTCACTTCCCCGGGGATATCAATGCCAAAAAATGTCCTTCGTGCTTCACCTCCATCTCACTTTTCATTACCAAGAGTTAAGCAAAGGAATCTCAATTCACAGGCACACGAGGCACCAATGCTGCCACAAAAGAAATCCTCTGCTAAGTAAACCACTTCATGACCAATTGCACATGCACTATAGTCTTCTCAGTATATCAAGACACTTATTTACATACATATTTCTTAGTCTGCCTTCCTGATCTGTGCAAATATCTTGCCATCAAAAAGTGGGAGGATCTCCGAGTCATCAGTGATCTCCTCCTGGATCACTCCGAACTCTTCGCATTGCTTCTTGAAGAAGAATCTGAAAGACCAACGACATATTAATATTTTCTATTGGAATTTTTTTCTAGAAAGCTAACAGTTCTAAACAATTTGCAATGCCCACCCCTCGCATACCTGTAAGTTCATTAGTGGTTCATTAAAATAGTCTTATGCAAATCATAGGCTATTTTTTTTAAATTAAGAAACAGTATCCTATTCAATTTAAACAATTTATATTACACAAAGGCATAAGATGGAATATCAATGCTTTTAAATTATGGAAAAAGCACAAGGGAACCACAAAACCTCTCTTTTTAATTTGTTCAGCCCTCAGTTTGAGGGCTGAGCATGTAATGCAGCTGTAGTAATTTTGCTTTAGAGAAATGCGAATTTACCGTCCAAAGATACAGGTGACCTAAGGAGTGAAATCGCCATTAGAGAAAGAACAGCAAGGAAACTGATACAAGTACGAGGGTAAGAAAGAGATGAAGCAAGAGTCATGGAGGAGAGAGATAACTGGGGGTAGAGGCTGAAACAAATGATGAAGGCAGTTAAGAAAAGAGTAATACAAGAAGACTTGAGCAAGAAAAAATGGCAAGCCAGTAGATAGCAGACCCAGTGAACACCTTTACACAAGAAGTTAAGTGTAGGAAAAGCAATCAAGACAGTTGTTAAAAACAGCCAAGAGGATCAAGTAAGTTGTGCAGTGCACCAGACTGAAGATGAAGGCAGACATACATCCTTTACCAGTCAGAGGAAACAAGACAAGATGAAAACTGAGCAGCAGTATACTAGATTAACAATTGGGATGAACAGCGCAACTTTTAATATGGAACATGACTATGATAGGCAAGTATTAAGTAGAATATTCAACTCCATTGAAGGTAAGTTTCAGATTAATAGGCCAATGACATATACATAGTTGTGTAGATAATGAGGTTCGGGGACATGTATGTCCCCGAACCCAACAGGAGTGTCACTAAAGCTGGATGTAAGGAAATTAATGCGGAAACCAAAAGGGGATGGGATGCATAACAAGCAGGTAAAAGGAGAGAGAAATTCCCTCGTACAAGAAAGTCCATTCTAACAGCATCATCATCTCATCTCATCTTTTTAACCCAGATCAACTGAAATATTTTCCCATTTCCCCAAATGACAATTCCTCCAGTAAGGGTAATGTATACTGTAATGTGTGCACAGATGGAATCACAAACAGGGTTGAGGAAAGCTACAAAAAAGTGTGCTGGAATTGCAATTCCAAATTACTGCAGTCATAGAAATGAAGCTTATAGAGGCAGAATAGATGATGAAGTCTTCTCAAGAAGTTATCAAATAAACAAAAGAAATAGCAAGGGAAGAGACACTATAGTGCTACACGAGTTAAATGGAAAAGTTTATAGCCAACCCACAGGATGCTGAAACAGCCAAGGCAATAATAGACAGACAAGATACTGGTAGTGGACATTTACAACACCCCGAATCCAGAATTGCGAACCACCCCAAAATGCAGCCAGAATCCTGTTCGACCTCCAAAACCCCCTGTGCCCGAATATCAACCCAAGACATGTTGCCAATCACAGCAGCCAAAGCAGCATACTTACAAATGTCATAGACATGAGGATAGACCACAGGCTGGCTAGACTTAACACTTTCGTGTTCCACAGACTTAATAAGTCGTCACTCTTTTTTCTACTGAATGTGTTCCAGTGACGCATTTTTGCGTCACTCGATATAAAAATTTGTAAAAAAAAAAGTTTCTATGCGATCTTCAATTTTTTTTTTTTGAAATGAGCGCCATTGTTTTCCCACAATCCTCCGTAGGCCGCATGGGATTCTGGGTCACGCCATGCGGTCGGCCTAGTCCTTTGTTTACGTCTCTCGTGACCGGACTACCGCGCTCCCGCGTCCAGAACCTGTGCCACTCTCTGCCCTGTGTAGCAGTGTTTATTCGTTCCTGTCTCCTTACAACGCATTATTACTTGCAAACATGGATCGTGGTAAAGGACAGAGCACCTCTACCCCCAAGAAGGATAGTGAAATGACCAAGGGAGATAAGTTGAGTGAGCTGTACAAAATGTTCAGCAATGTGAAGCTTACCCCTAGTAAAATTCCTGATTTGTTGGATCGTTTGTCAGATGTGGAGGCAGATGCTGAAGGGGAAGAGCGTCAGAGTGATTTCAGTAGTGATAATGAGGGGACAGCGTCGTCTGATGAGTTTGATTCATCATCGAGTGAGGAGAGTAGCGAGGGGATTGAGGATGAGTCAGCGGATGTGGGCCGCCCCAAGGCACCTGTAAGGAGGCGTGCAGGACGTCTTCAACAGCCTAATCCCGATGCTGCCTGGTCAACTGACAATACACCACCTATTGTAGGCAGTTTCAGTGCCACACCAGGCATAACTGTCCCAGTGCCAATTACCCCCCTGCAATTTGTTCAATTATTTCTGACCCGTGCCCTAATTGAGTTCATCACAGTGGAAACTAACAGGTATGCCAGGCAGTTTATTCAGAATGCTTCCAGGCGCACTATGAGGTTGTGGAAGGAGGTATCTGCGAAGGAAATGGCAAGGTATTTGGCTTTATCAATCTTGATGGGTATTGCACGACTCCCAACAATGCGCATGTACTGGCAAACAAGCCGGTTGTGGCATATGAGGACCTTCAATGTGTTCATGACTTCAAAACGATTCCAACATATTGCCCAGTTTTTTCATACTTATAACCAGTTTGCAATTCCACCCAACAACAAGAACCGCATGATAAAACTCAGCACCATCATTACCTATTTGACCAACAAATTTGGCTCTTACTACGTCCCCAATCAAGCACTCAGTTTGGATGAAGGTACAATGTCGTGGCGTGGTCGTCTATCCTTCAAGGTTTACAACCCCAATAAGCCTGATAAGTATGGGGTAAAGTTGTACATGCTTGCTGAGGCAGGGACTGGTTATATTATTGATTTCGAGGTTTATTCTGGAGTGGGCAAGACAACAGTTGAGACAGTGATGGGCCTTATGCGACCCTTGTTGAACAAAGGTTATCATCTTTATATGGACAATTATTATAACTCTGTCCATCTCACAGAATTGCTAAGGGAAAATGGTGTGTACACTTGTGGAACACTCAGATTGCAGCGTGGTGCCCCTAAAGAGCTGCAAAAACTTGCCAAAGGTAAATTCGCTGTTGATCAGACTATTTTCAGGCGCAAGGATAACACTTTTGTTATCCTTTGGAAAGACAAGAGAGTGGTGTCAGTGATCACAAACTGCCATAATGCTGACACACAGGAAGTACAGAGAAGGAAGAGAGTGAAGAAACGTGACGGAACATCATCTGTTCAGATTGTAACTGTAAACAAACCAACAGCCATTTGCGACTACAACAACAACATGAAGGGAGTTGATCACTTCGACCAAATGGTCAAATATTACAGGTTCACCAGGAAGTCGCATAAGTGGACTAAGAAGATCACATTTTACTTCCTTCAGATGGCTATACACAATGCCTATGTGTTGTACAAGATGTACACAACTGATGCCAAGAAACTGACCCTACTCCAGTTTCATGAAGTAGCAATATGGGCCCTGTTGGGGTGGGACATGGATGAGTGGCCTGCTACTGAAAGCCCTCTCCCACATGCTGATGATTATCAGGATCCTTCTCATGATTTGGCAACACCTGGCCCATCTGGAGCGAGGCGTCCTTTATTTCATCGTCTTCCACGCCAACCACATGCCTCATCCTCATCAGACACTGAACCTGAAACTGAAACGCCTGCACCTCAAGCTGAAGCTACTCCTCCACCTGTGAAAAACCCCCGCATTGTTGATTCAGAGGACAGGCTAAACAGGAAGTTGACTCATGCATTAGTGAAAATTGCTAAACGGAAACGGTGCCGAGTTTGTATCAAGTCGGGAATTAGAAAAGACTGTATGTATCAGTGCAGGACATGTGGAGTTGCTCTATGTGCCACACCATGCTACTCAAAATATCACCGCAAGAGGATATTTTGGAAAGCAAAGAAATAACTCCTCTGCAAGCTTCCACTCCACCTAACGTAACATCTGTTGAGCAACTTCAGGGACATTTTCCTGAAGCCGGTGGAGTGGATAATCAAATGCTCAACTTGTTGACCTTCCTTCATCACATCGTGGGTAAGTACACATAATTTATATTACACATTTTGAGGTTATTACTTCTTCATACTTTGCTGTGGGTAGCTCTATATATATTCCAGTTCTTAGTGCTCAGATTGGTATGTCTACATAGTGCATCTTCTTGCGAGTATTTTGACACCAAAATGAACAATGTAGCACAAAAACTTCCATTGGAACAATATTTTTGTTTGTCGGGTGTATTGGGTGTACCGGGCGTGGAAACGGGTGTTTGGGCGGGTGAGGCATCGACGTGTTTGGGGGTGTTTGGGGGTGAGGCGCGCACGTGTAACCCACTTTTATGCATATGTCTGTGTAGGCAATTTTATTGCGATCACCGTGATACCAAACAAAACCATATGCAACAAGTTTTGACTTGATAAACACAATCAGAGTAGCAACATATAGGGAGAGTTTAGCGGAGTTTAGCGTGAGCGCGAAACAAAGCACGCAGTTCTTTGGTTGCTGGTCGCCTAATGTTAGCTTTGGTGAAATGTTATACATATGTTCTTATAGTACATTTCATTAGCTACACAGTGATACCAAAAAAAAACACGTACATCGAAAATGAGGGTCACAGACATGAGGAGAGTATAAACTTTTCAGTTGTGGTTGAGCGCATGTGCAGCTGGGCGCGCTCCGGCGGGTAACCCTAAGCCAACTTCCCACATTCCTGTGGGTGGGGCGACACCATTATTTATTGTGTATATTTATATGTCCGTGTAGGGAATTTTATTGCGGTCACAATGATACCAAAATAAACCACGAATAATAATTCTGGGGTTCGCAAACATAAAAACATCGTAAACATTGATGCCCGGTTTTACGCTCACAGCTAACGACCGCCACAGTTTGTTATTCGGTGTGGTTCTCATGTTGTCTTTGGT